CTTTGATTTCCATTCTCTGAAAATTTTATAAAATTCGTCTGCACCGTTTTTGTGTAATTGAACTCCAAAGATGTCATTGTTGTAGTTAAATTTTCAACGGTATTCTATTGAATTATATAGGAAAAACGTCGTTTTTGGCTTGTTTTCAGGCAAGGTTTTGATTAAAAAAGTATCAATAACTTTTAAATCGTGCAGACGAATTTGTTTATCCTTTGGTATTTAAAAATAGAATTGATTTGAAATAAATCTATGTGAAAAAAATAATATGTCTTCGGGTTCATTTTCTCGTAATTTAATTGTAGATAATTGCTTTTATATTGAAAAATGTAGCATTTTTAAGAACAACGTCATAAAATGTCGCGACGTCACGCTTGACGTCGTGAATATCGATCCGGTATACAGAGCAAAAACAAAAATCACACAGATTTTAAGAAAAAGGAAATTCACGTATATCTGCTTTCAAATGACCAGTATCATAATAATTCAATAAAATAATTATTACACATTTTTCTCTTTAAGCTTATTACGTCTAATATTAGTGAAAATTCGCGTAAAAGGTGTAAACCAACAACCAGTCCTTTAGTTTCTCTTTTTATTTTCTTTAATGTGTTTATTTCTTAGTGTTTCTTTTTTCCCTTGTTTTGATTTTCTTCATTCGCCGATTCTCGCCGGAATTTGCAAAATAAAAGTGTCCTTGTATTTACCTTCTGGAAAAGGCAGATCCCCCATCCCCGTTGAAATCGTAGATCTGTGATCTAAGTTTGTTTGAAAAGTCATAGGTATGAAGATAATTTATAAGTCAAGGACTACTAACTCCCACCCCCCCTGAAATATGTTTTTTACGCTTTCAATTTATATATCCTTTTCTTTGGAAAATTCAGCAAGGCTATCAAATCAACAATAACTTCTTATGAATCAATATCCGCCAGATAATATCCTCCCGAGTGTAAGTATTAATTAATGCATTCAGTCTATATATTGAAAATGTTTTTATTTAAGCTTACAAAGAGGCAGCAAATAACTAAAATAAATCTTAACTTGATTTTATTTTATGCTTATACGTATAAGGATAGAAAAAAAGTGGAATTTTTAGTGGAGTAAATGGGAGGATGACTTAAACATTATTTTTATTTGGCGTAATCAAAAGGCAGATTTTATTTTGTTCTTAGACTTTCAATGTATACATATTACATTGATTCTACTGAATGAACATGGAAAGCAATGCAGCGAATAAAATATGTACATGTAACTAACAACAATGCATGCCATTACTTACAAAGGCAATTGGGGTACATGTATCGAACCCCCCCCTCTTTCTGTTTTTCTGGGGTTTTCCTATTTGGATGTTTAATATGTATTGCATGTTATTAATAATGTTACCCTTTTATCTCTTTATCTCTTTACGCTGTTTTTAAATACATGTATTTCGCTTTCGACTGATACATAAAAAGAGACGGCTTGCAATTTGTTTTTATTCTCGATGTTTGCCTCAGTTAATCTTCACTTGATCACTATCTAAAGCTTAGAGAATCATGGAATATGCAGACATCGATAAATTTGAAACACGCTCTTCTTCCTTTTCAGATTTCCATTTATATAATTCTTTATGTGCCTCCGATTAGTAAATATTTCGATTAAATCATATAGGGTGAAGTTAAAATTCAAAAATAGGAAAAAGTTTACTCACCCCCGGCATTAGCAAGTAAAAAATGGAAAGGAGGGAGGGGGGTCATATCGTACTTGCCTGTGGTTATTTACAAGAGGTCAATGCCGCTCAAAAATGTATTAGTTTATGTTTCATTAGTATTACCTCGGTAGTGCCTTAGCAGTTTTTAATTTGTGATCAACCTGTATCTCGATTTGTCCGAGATTAGCACATATACCGCTTCATAACTGAGTTCGACTTTCCATTGGTGCATGAGCAGAGTTTTGGCGCTGTTTACGGAGATAAATGAGAACAAAGACATGCATGCCACATCTATGGTTATGTAGATAAATTATTGTAGAAGACAGTGGTAATAAACAGTTTGTTAGCGCATTTCCACTAAAAGTGTAAATGAGTGCTTTTCTGAGGAGGGAGTACCGAGTGTAATTCGGAGTTAGATAACCTGTTTTATAATCATACTCATTTAATATTTATTAATCATATATATGATACAAGGGTTAAAATTTATTTGCAAAACAAGTACATATGTGCTCTCAGAATAGACCCGAGAAAATGCGATTGATAAAACATAATGAAACGCTTTCTAATACTTTCAGTGATGGTCAACGAATCAAAATGAGCCTTCATTATTTTTGATAACTTCAGCATGTTCTATGTATACTGTTACACTAAAATGCCATTTTCAACAAAAGTTATAGCCAGATAATGTACTGAATTTTCCCTTTCTCACCGTGACGTCATAATCAGATGTGCACAAGAAAGTCGCCCAAATCATATAGATTGCGTACCAAGTTTTAATGACGTCAGCAAACCCGCGACCTACGTTAAAATCATCTTTTAACTGGCTATGGAGATATACTATGCATCAAGATTACTTGGTTTTTAATGTCAAAATAGATTCAGAGAGAAAAGGGATGCACAGTTAATGTCAATTTGTAGTCAAGGGTGTAAAAATCAATCATGTCAAATAATGACGTTGATCATGTTTTTTAGCCAAATTGAACTCCAAAAAACAAATGCTGGCACAATCAAGCGAGGATATCCCCCAATGTATAAATTCATTTGCAATAATATATGCCTTGAAAGCTGCTGTACATGACATTATAAAGTTATATAAACAAGTCGGATTGAATTACTTACTCAGCTCTAAGGAATCTCATCAAAATAAGTGTACAAGGTAGAAAAAGCGTATATTGAAAAATAATGACATTGTCGGACGTCATGAAACTAAACAGCGCGGGTGATCATATAATGTCATTTCTATTTTATAATAATTTGGGAAATAATGAACGTATCAAGCTAAAATTTTTAATATTTCTTTATTTTTTGTTGTTTTATGTACCTTATAAATTTTGTAAGCTCAGACAACATAGTGCTAATTTTATAGCCTCAGTCCACGAACTTTTTGATAACCCCACATATATATATAAAACAAACTTTACAATCAAAAACATTTATTTCTTTTTATCTTAAGGGGAAATATGCCTCTGTTCCAAATTTCACCAATTTATTTTTTTAAATTACAAACATTAATTAAATGTTTATAAACAATTCTGCATCTAAAATTTCTGTAACAATTAAATGACTTATATGTTAAGAGATAGAAATATCTCAATTTACACAGCTTAAGAAAATGAGAAAAAATGTTTTAAATAAACTATAATAAATAATTAATAACAAGAGGCCCAAGGGCCTTGAATCACTCTTCTGATAAATTGTACAATCTACCACTTCTATTTGAAGCCTCTTACTCTAAGTATCCCAAGTTGCATCAACTGACAAAGTTTGAGGATTCTAAGCCAAAAAGTACCTAAGATACTGAAATATAGCCATAAAATGTCAAAACTAGGTCACAGTGACCTACTTTTTGGTTGACATTCTCCGAAAACCCAAGATGCCTCATCTGACAACGTTTGACAATTCTAGGCCAATAAGTACTCAGATAAGTAAATATAGCCATAAAATTCAAAACTAGGTCACAGTGACCTACTTTTTGGTCGACATTCTCCGAAAACCCAAGTTGTATCAACTGACAAAGTTTGATGATTATAAGCCAAAAAGTACCTAAGATACTTAAATATAGCCATAAAATGTCAAAAGTAGGTCACCGTGACCTACTTTTTGGTTGACATTTTCCGAAGACCCAAGATGCATAAACTAACAAAGTTTGATGATCATAGGTCTGAAAGTATTCAAAATATGCCTTTTAAACAATTTGAAAACAAATGCCTCATAAGCCAAAAAGTACCTAAGATACTTAAATATAGCCATAAAATGTCAAAAGTAGGTCACCGTGACCTACTTTTTGGTTGACATTTTCCGAAGACCCAAGATGCATAAACTAACAAAGTTTGATGATCATAGGTCTGAAAGTATTCAAAATATGCCTTTTAAACAATTTGAAAACAATTGCCTGCAAAATTCAAAAAGTAGATCACAGTGACCTACTTTTTCATAAATATGTTTTAAGGCCCCAAGATGCATCAACTTACAAGATTTGGTGAATCTAAACCTCTCAGTATCTGAAAAAATGAGATTAAATGTTTTAGAAAAGATGAGCCATAAAATTCAAAAAGTAGGTCACAGTGACCCACTTTTAAGTTGACCTTGTTTAAGAACCCAAGATGCATCAACTGACAAAGTTTGATGATCATAGGCCTTAAAGTATCTAAAATATGCCTCCAAATCAATTTGAAAACAAAAGCTCGTAAAATTTAAAAAGTAGGTCACCATGACCTACTTTTGTGTTAACATGATGTGAAGTCCTAAGATGCATCAACTTACAAGATTTGATGATCCTAGTCTTTATAGTAAGCAAAATATCAACGTTTTTATTAAGTGTAAATTTCAGTTAACTTTGAAGTGACCTTGAGACCAACACTAGTTTTAGTATAAATGGTATCCCTTGGGCCAAGGATACCCTGTAACAAATTTGACAATGATTGGCCAAGGGGTTCTTGAGTTATGGCCCGTATTCTAAAAAGTTAACGCACACCGCACACCGCACAACTGGCCATAGCATTAGCTCTTTGAGCCTTTGGCTCAGAAGAGCTAAAAATATTGGCAATCGAAATTAGAAATCAACATCAGTACGGCAGAACAGATTTGATTGAGTTGACCATAAATTGGTACATGTACTTATTAATGAAATCTGAAAAATCTGACTTGACAATTTACTGAATTTCATGGATAAATGTCTTCAGAAAGTTGACAATTCACTGAATTTCATGGAAAAATATCTTCAGAATGTTATCTCTAGCTCTTATCAGAGGGATATTATTCCTTAAGATGTAACTATACTGTCACATAATTTAGCTACACACAAAAAGATTACCTGTATACTGACATGCTTTGATTTTACTTTTTATGTAAGTTTTACTAGCTGGATCATCACCAACTTGGACCACACACAAAGCTGGGCTACGCTTGCCAGCTTTCAATAATTTCTCTATTTCAAATTTCACTTCATCTTTTATTTCTCTTGCTAGCTTGTGACCATCAATCAACGTGGCAGACATAAACCTGAAAAGATAAAATGCACAAACAAAACCTACCTTCTCATACATAATTAGAGAAAACCAAGTAAAGATATAACTGAATCATGTACTTGAACACATATTTCCACTTTAATTAAATGAGACCTGCAACAACTGATATTAATGCATGGTGAAGCAAATAGCATGGTTTAGAGTTTCAACTTTGTCTTTTTCTCACAGTTAGGTCTTTTTCACGCAATAATTTGAGTGAGATTTGACAAGAGCATGCTATGTTTGACACTCACTTAAACCATCTCAGAACAAGAAGATCTCCAATAAAACATCAAATGATAGACTGTAGTCCATGCGCAGATCTAGAATTTTTTCAAAGGGGGGTTGAAGGGGAAAAGAGTTATTATATTAACATACGTTTTACATAATAATTATATATGTAGTTAAATAAATCAATAGGATACAGGGTGGAGTATGGTTTTTAAAAGTGGGAGCACAGAGGTTGATCAACCTGGGAAAAAGTACTTGTATGGATTACCAGAAAGTTTTTGAAAAAGAAAGGAAGATATATCTCCGAACCCAAAAATCCTATTTTGTAAAGGGGGTGGGGTTTCATTTTGTTTTCACAACCAAATTTCTTTATATATAACAACATAAGCCTTTTACTAAACATTTTCTAAAGTAAATACACAACAAAAAATTGGAACTTTCTTCTTTCTTTTTCTTTTCTGCAAATCCAAAAGCGGGGGGGGGGGGGGGGGGGGGGGGGGTGTGCAACCCCCATAACTCCCCTCTGGATCCGTCACTGTTTTCTATGTAAACATTTCACCCATTGGAATTTGCGTCCGTTAGCTTACGTAGTAATGAGCAAAAGTTGTTTTTAAAATTTCAGTTCACTCCAACTGCATCTTTAGTTACTTTATTTCTATGGTCAGTATTCTAAACATGCGGAATTCTGACGTCATTTTTGGGGTTATTACATCATAAATGTAACAAGAGGCCCGCAGGCCTTATAGGTCACCTGAGTGTCATGTAACAACTTTCCAACAATTGACTTTGGTTCGTGTTTTAAACCAGAGGCCATAGAATTTCAATTTTGAAAGAAACACCATTGCTTATCATAATAATAAACTTAAAATGCTTACTCTGGTTACTTAATATCCAGAGGTAGATCAGTGTAACAAAGACAAAATTTGTTTCCACTTTATAATCAGTCCCCCCCCCCCAGGAACCAATGACCCTGGGGCTAAATATTTGGAAATGTTATCATAAATTTTATTTCATAATAAATTATTGATTAATACCAAAGAGCAGATTTCAAAGCATTAATTTATTTTAAAATTAGTCTACATACCGTATAAGTGGAAATTTTAGCAAGAGGCAAATTTAGCGATTTGTCCTTAAAACTTGGTACTTTTATAATCTTAGTCATATGTAATTTTAGTGATCTCAACACCCTCGCTAATAATGCCAAAATTAAATCCTTGCTAAAAATTCTGCTTATAAGGTACCCCCCAGTACCCCTGACACCAGGGGCCCTGAAATCAACCATTTGGCTAGAAGTACCTTTCTTCATCAAAAATATATATACAGACTCTGAGACGTGCTACTACCCCAAATAACCGTGTGACTTTCGTGCGCTTTCCGTTTCGTGCAAACCGTGTAGCATTTCGTGTAAACCGTGCAGCATTTTGTGCAAACCGTGTAGCATTTCGTGTAAACCATGCAGCATTTCGTGTAAGCTCCAAAGCGTTTTGTTCAAACCGTGTAGCGAGCGTGCGAGAAGCGTGTGAGAAACGTGCGACTTTCGTGTTAGAACCGTGTGAGAAATGTGTGACTTTCGTGCAAGAATCGTCTAAGATTCATTCGGAAGTCATTTCATTTTAAATATGGCTATCGATGGGTCAGGATGTCAAATTGTATTAGTACTTAATTATTGAATTAGCTATGCTTGTGATATTTTAGGAGTAAAAACAAAAAAACAAAAAAAATGGAACAAAAAAATGAAATTACACGGTAATGTATAATATATTTTGTTTGTTTTCTTTTCCTTCTAGAGAAAATGTATTCAAATTAATCAACTATGTACAACAATTTTAAGGGCATTGAATTCAATATACTATCAACGCGATCATGGCTTCTTAAATATTTTTTTCTCAAAGAAAGAAAGAAATACCGGTTATTTTTTTTTTATTTAAAGCAAAAATATATCAGGACGCCACTCTTGTCTTTACATTTAGAGTACGTGAAAGAAAGTTTTGAAACAATGTGTCATTTAATACCTTTTAATACATAAAATATGTTGCTCATTATTGTCAAATACATGGATTATAATTCTAATTCACATGCACTGACGACCACATGTTTAGAACCGGGGGGGGGTTAAATTAAATTACTAGTACAGTCTTTCATTTTTTGTTTTACATAACTTTCAATCTAATGTTAGTTTAAATAAATGCTTAATTTTCTAATGTGTGCGCAGATACACCCATTAAAAATATTTTGGAATCTTCTTTCTGCCTTTCAACTGTGATCAAGGTCATTTACAACAGCGATCACGGGCTCCGAGTGCATGGCAACTGAAAACCTGTTTTGCTATATGTACATGTTGAGTTCACGGTTTAAGGAGGATCTATACATCTGTAAAGTATAACTGATTTTTGTTTCATGCATTTGTTTCTAATAATACGCCCCATATCCGATAAAATAAGGTTCCAAAGTATTTCAATTTAATTTTTAGAAATATTTGAAATATTTTATTTATTTTGTTAAAATCCCTCCTATCAATTTTTTTAGATGCCCATTGCTTTAAATTTCTCTTCAAAGTTTAGTGTTATAAAATATTGAAATAATAACCAACAAAGTTAAAAATAAAATCAACATAATTTTTATTTAAATTTACAAAAATAGACAAAAGAAAAACTAAAACAGCATTTTCTTGAGAATAGCTGGTTGGATCCTCTTCAATATCTGGAAAGATATATAATATCCAAGGGTAAAAACAATGAAAAAAAGAAATTGAAAAAAATTGAAAAACTGTCAAAAATTTATATACATCACAAAAATTCAGGTGTGAGAGATCCACTTTAAGAGTGGACTCAAATATCTTGATACTGTTTTTTTTTAATAAACTTCAAATAAACTCTTCTTGCACAAGTATTAAACAAATGTCACATAAGGACATTGAAAGAAGTTCGTATTGTACATGTATTGTTTTTCAGTTAGTTTAAGCGAAAATCATTGCGTTTCCAGTCAATGACAAAGACATGTATTTAGTGAATTCATGGTATTGAGAAAGGTAGATTTACTTACCGTTTTTATCCAACTTGCATGTGTTATCCAGTGCTACATATAACAAAACAAGCTAAGATGGTAAATGGCCAAAAGCGGTAAAAGAAATTCCTATAACCAAATGCACACTTCGTCTAAGACCTGCACGTTTCCCACACTTGTAAACAGCTGACAATCAATGTTGATCAAATGTTTGGGTCATGCGAAATTTCACCGGGTATAACCATTCATTCGGGTGTATACAAATCGTGAACAGAGTATCCTCTAGTCGATAGGAAGATAATACATATGTCTTATCTGATGAAACTTGCATTTTTGGGGGGATATATTTTGCTGGAAAGCATATATGCTTATTGAAGAAATTTCTGAGTGTATGGCGTTTTGACACGTAATGATGAATTAGCATATGGACAAACCATGTTTTATATTTCTTTTTCACCTAAAAATCTTATTCTAATAAGTTTGTAAATGTATTATTTAATAATTAGATAAGTAGAAACTGAATAAATTGACAAACAGTTCATTTTTAAAGAAAGGATACGTATTGGGCAATACACTACATATTAATTGATGTGATATAATGTACATTCCATGCACAATATCGCATGTTGTGTTATACTCAGTGATTTATCGGTGTTAAGTGAATTTGAATCTGATCATTTGGGATCAAAATGGAGTTTTTACGGAAGTACGCCATGTTGTGACATTGTAGAGAGCCCCCTTAATGACACCTGAAAATTATGACTGGGTTTTATTTTTTTTAAATAAAATGGTTCTATACATATTTAATGGGTAGAACTTATATATCAGCGGACAGCGGATTTCATCTTTTATTTGTAAATCCGAATTTCTAGCCGTAAACTATGGCACGCCAAATTCACAAAAATGAGTCAATCATAGTTTCACAATCGATAAACTAGGTTTATTGGTTGTAAACTATAGTTTACGGACTGTAAACTATAGTTAACAACGTTAATCTATATTTTACATCTGTAAACCATTGTTAACGCGATAATCTATGTTTCACAAGCATAAACTATACTTAACACCGAAAACAATCATTTGCAATTGCAAAACATATATAATCTGATAAATACAGTTTCACAATTTGTAAACTATAGTTTACAAACCGTTAACTATTAGTTAAGGATCTGATAAATATAGTTTCACGATTTGTGAAACTATGATTAACAACTCTTAACTATAGTTTACGATTGTAAATTATAGTTTACAAACGTGAATCTATGTTTATCAACAAAATCTATTGTTAACGCTTATTTCAGACAGATAAACTTAGATTAGCATTCGTAAACTATAGTTAACAACCATTAAATATAGTTTTACAGATGAAAACTATACTTAACGAATCCTTAACTATAGTTTAAGGTTTGTAAACTATAGTTTACAGTCGATAAACCTAGTTTATCAATTGTGAAACTAGGTTTAGCTCATTTTTGTGAATTTGGCGTGCCATAGTAAACAGTAAAATAAACAGAACTGATTTGGTGGTCTTTTCATGAATATCATGTAAGAAAAGTTTAGGAGTAAATCATGAATAATTGTATATTATTTGTTTTATAAATCATGTACTTTTTATTTCATCTAAGATATTTCAGTTTTCTTGTAATATACCTGAAGACAGGTGTAGCATAATATTTTGATACCGCGATATATTGAACCCGGGTTCAAAATATCGCATAATATTTTGAACCCGGGTTCACTTTTTCGCTGCGATATATTGAA